CGATTACATTAGTTAATCGTGATGTAATCGATTACATGATCCAGTCAACGGTCAAATAGGGACATATTGGTGTATAATTTTGAGACGGGGCAAAATGTTCAAAAAGCCTCTTCTACACATATAAAAGTGTTTCATATTCATTTTTTTTTTCTCTTTCTTCTTCTTATATAGGTTGGCTCCATATATTTTTACGAGTGTAAAGATAAATTTATCTCCTACAACATAACAAAAATAAACCATATCATTAATGATGTGATACTTATTTTGGTTTATGTATAAATGTTCCGTTTATCTTCAATATTTTTTTCATGAAATAAGCTTAAAAAAGTCTCAAAGAATACGTCACATAGTCAAAACGGTTACTTTTTCTTTAAACCGATTCATAACACGTCGTGTTGAAATTAAATAAAGGAATCATTTATACATAAAGTGGTCAAAGCAATCTACCTTTAATAAAAACATTATGTATCAAAACAAAACTTTATTTACCTTCATTAACTTCTATGATATTTAGTAACTTCAGCAATCCCTTTCATTTAACAGATTTTCAATAAAATTTTGCAAATTATGGTGTTCTACCCATTAATGAACTATTAAAATTTTACTATAGAGGCAATAAAAAAATTTAGAAGGAAAAATATAGAAAACTCTACCCTACTTCACCCCTCCTCTTTAACCAAGCAGCATAGTCAAATTTTTCTCCCATCTTACACACACACACGCGCACGTATATATACCTATCTTCCTTCACTTTTCTCCACACCTCATTCTTCTCTCTCTGGATTTATGAATGATCTTTTTTGTGATCTCCCACGGCTGGCTTTCTTGAACTGCATTGTAAGGCTTCTCCAATGGAGGTTATCCCCGATGCAACATAATTTTTATGAGTGCAATTCAAGAAAGCTGTGGAAAATCACTGAGATGATCAACTTTCACCTTGAATTGCTCTACACATCCCATGACAACTGTATGACATCTCTATCAAATTTCATGATTTCAGATTTTGGTCACCTGCATCATGCATGCGTTGTTCTTTAATTCTGTGTGTACTCTATCTTGCCCATGTTTTGACAACTGCACTTGCTCTATCTTCCTTTTGATTTATAAAAACTTCAATCTTTGCTTACTAATTTTCATGTTCTTGACTGGAGCAGTTTTGCGAATCATTGTTCTGTGTCGCTGTCTGTTTTGTTAACGGGGAATCGCATCCACTTCCATCGTAAAATATTTTATCTTATTAATAATAATATTTTGGGTTTGGTATTTGTCCTTTTGATGTCCTATTAATATAAAATTCTACGGTGAAAAAGTGAATATAAATAAGTTATCTACATTTGCTCTTAAAACTATATCGTTTTGTATTGAAAAATTAAAAAATTATAATAAAAAAAATATTATAATCCTGAAATAAATTATAATTACAAAAATACTTTGATTTTCGCCTCAAAACGACGTCATTTTGTGCTTAATGTAGATAATTCATCTACATTGACCGAAGAAAAGTAAACAAAAAAAAAAAGTAAAACCTAATATAATTTTCTCAATCAATAATTTGATGTCCTATTAAGTAGCAGCTCTTTATATATCTATATTAGTCATCCACGCATTAACAAATGAAAATTATTTTTTTCATTTGATATCAGAGCTATGCAAATATGATTATAAGACCCACAATTTTTTATTTATTAGAATAATTTGAAATTTGCATATAGAACCTATAGTTCAAGACAAAATTTCCTTTGGAATTTTTTGCTATTGATCTTGGAAGCCTTGAGTTTTTTATTCTACGTGATGAGATTTTTCTAACCATAATCATATGCATGTTTTCATTAAGTATTATGAGAAAATTTTGAATCTGAATTTCTGAGTTTTATTACATGAAAGTTTAGAAAACTTTACAAATTATTTTCAATCAATACATTGAAATTTTAAACTGCTTTGAGGCTTTTGAAAAATAACTTTTTAGTGACCTATTGATACAAAAATTGTTTGCAATCGTTTTCTATTGCGAAGAAATTTCGTTCATGAATGTATTGTTACGAAACATAAGGTTTGTATTATGAAAGTTTCAATCTTTCTTTAAATAGATCTTATTTCACTTATTTAAAACAAAAATTTGTTTGGAGGTTTTGGTTCCCATGTTATTTTCCCATGGTTTTATGTTGTTTTTAATGCAAAAAACACATCTTTTTTGTGCCAACAAAAATCACGACCCATTGCTTGAAAAATCATTTTTCCAACTTCCAAAAGCTCTCAAAAATATATTATTTTTAAGATGAATTAGATTATAATCTTGTTGGGTTGTTGTTTCTGGTTTATTTTGTGAAGAAAATTGCTAAAAAAAATATGTTTTTTTTTTTTGATTTGACGAAGCTCCCATGGCAAAACCCAGTTTTGAGCAAGTCGACCCGTCAAAGGAAGAAGAAACACTATAATAGAGAAATCTCATGAAATTCTAGGGTCTAGGGTGAGATTGTGAGAGAGACATCATATTTATACTTCTTATTAAAAAGTCTCACGAAATCCACACCAATAGAAAATTCAATAAAATCGTCAGATTTTTGAATACCCCACCATTAATTTTCCTTTTTTAAAAATCATGATTGAATATCACCGGATTTGGAAAAGCTCTAAAATAATCTTTTAAAATCCTACTCGAATACCACACGATTTTTTTTGAATCCTCTAAAATCTTAATTAAATTCCAAAGAATTTTTTTGCCAAAAAATAATCCATTAAAATTATTTAAAATCTCAACCCAATACACCCCATAAAAGTAATTAGAATTTTTTATATAGTACTTACTTAAAAAAATGAATATATTTTCTTTAAATGTCATATGTTATTATTTATTTATTTATTTAAATATCAAATATAAATTCATTCAAATTAATTATATATCTTCCTTAAAATTTTATTTTATTTATTTAAACATTTTATATTATTTTTATTTTATAATTTTGATTTTTAAATATTTATTTCCTATTAAATAATAGGAAAGAAGAGTCAAATGTTAACTATTAAGCCACAACATTTTATTTATTACATTATCTCTAACTATATATTTATTATATATCGTTACATACATTAATTTAATCAGTTAAAACAATGACTCAATATCTCTGGCAAAAAAATTAATTTATTGCTTTTTTAATAAAAAAATTACAAATAAGTAGTCGTTTTGAAATTAATTACGAAAATATAGCAGTGAAACACCCCTCATAGGGGCGTGACTGGTTGGAGAGAGACACGCTCCATCTGGGCGTGAGCGAGGACAGAGACACGCCTCATGTGGGCGTGTTTCACCAGGTGCTGCCACGTGGCACAAAAGTCAACAGTTTGATCGTAAAACTTTAGAAGTAAATAACTTTTGACTTGGGTATTCGAATTAGGTAAAAAAAAATTGATTCCATATAACTTTTCGAGATCTACGTAATGACACCTCATTTGGCATATTTTGTCTCTCACAAAAAAAAACTAAATTTATAATAATGTTACCATAAGAACATTTAATTTTTTATTTCAAAACGACTACATTTTCGTGTGACTGTTATATTTTCGTAATTAATTTCAAAACGACTACATTTTCATAATTTTTTTATCAAAAAATAATAAATTAATTTTTTTGCCATACTAGTTCGAATTTAATAACATTGTTTAGACGTACGGGATTACTGCTGGCAAATGTTAAGAAGATTTTGAATTATTTAATTTAGTAATGTTATGCCTCCTTTCTGGTAACGAGTTATATTAGATATATGAGCAGAATAAGTAAATTTTTTAGGATACGTGTCAAAAACATTTAAAATTCAGAAATAAAAAAATGTTTTTAAGTTTTAAATTATTAAAATAATTATTTAAAAAAAGTAAATTAAATATGTTTCTAATTAACATTTTTCAATTTAAATAAAATATGTATTTGTGAAATCATTGACTTATAATTTAATTTGTTCAATTATTTAAATTAAACAATATCTAAATAATAATTAAATGTGTGAGTTATAATTTGACCCACTGTTTTATAAACCATCAACGGATTGGTTATGTGATTATGTAGTTGAATCGTTTTCAAATCAGCCCCAGTTTTTCAATTGAATCACCAAAACACTATGAATCTAATATAATCATTTAATATATTATAATTACAAAAATATTTTAATTTTTGTCCCAAAACAACGTTATTTTAAGCTTACGGAGAAAATTTTTATCCATAAATAAAACAAAAATGAACCAAATTAAGGCAGGAGACGCATGTTTATTCACATTCTTTCTCTTTAATTGTTTAAACATTCATTTTTATCTTTTATTTTTTGGCATGGGGTTGAAAAACAAAAGGTAACAAAAGAAAAACTACCTTAAGCCATATAGTTACAGATGCTGGTCTCAAAGTACATCGTATTTATAATAATAATAATAATAATAATAAAAGGCCTGTGGTCAGGTGATGCACAGGATGTGGATGAACAGACACAAATCTTTTCTTTTATTCAAGCATATCCAAGAAAGACAAAAACATCATATGAGTGGTGATCAATTATCTAAGCAATTGTGCGCAAGTCAACATATAAAATATTTAAATAACAAAAGGACACAAAACTCATAATCTATATACACCAACAGGACCACTGTTCCCACTACTTTATTTGGTGACGAGAATTGAACAGCAAGCGCAGACAAAACGGAAACAAAGGCCAGAACCAATTACACACCATCTAAGATAATTTACCAAAGATAACCCTCTCACAAGCGCACAGTGCAAAGCAATATCATCACGCGGCATTGATTTTACTTTTTGTTATTAACAATCAAAACAAAATTAAGTGTTCACACTCACATGTATTGAGTTTATGAAGTTATACATAGATACATTTCAGATACCTAAGAAACAAAACTTTATGAGGTTTTCTAACAATTTATGCAAATCAACTTCGACAAAGTCTCTTTACTAAATGGTGGCAGCATCAACTTCATATTGAAATTCCGCTTTCAGGAATTGACAACTATAAATAATTCTTGAACTCTTCATTCATGAGCTGCTGCAATGAAATTTTACCCAAAGGAATGCTTAATGGTTTTGGCTGAGTTGGAAAACATTGAGACACGTAGTTCATTGTTGGCCGAGAGCAAGGATTGGGATTTAAGCATGCAAATGCTATTATGGTAACACGAACTACGTCAAGTAAAACTGCCATATCTGGATGTGGAAGGCGTTGATCCAGTACTTCACATAATGTGATGGCATTAGTAGATGCTGATTGAAGTGATGACAGTATTTCCTTAGGATGCCTTCCCACTAAAGTTTCAAGTGCCACCATTCCAAAGCTATAGACATCACATTTTTCATTCACAACCATAGTATAGGCAAGCTCTGCCATGATCAGACCAACATAAAGCATGTTAAAGTATCAAAAGGAAAAAGAAAAGAAAATAGTCGAAATTTGACTGGTTTAAATAAAATCTTTGATTTCTATAAACTCAGCATGATAAAAACTCATAAAACAACGAAATTTCCCCTGGAATAATAAATGGTAATAATAATAGCAAGCACAGTAACAAAAATAAAAATAAAAAATTGGGCAGAAAACATAAACACAAAAACTCCTCAACTAAGAGTTGAAAAAACCATGGTAAAATTTCCAGCATCAACAAAGAAAGCTATTAGGAGTTTTACAAGCAATCTACAGATATGAACAACCCTTTTCATAACATCAAAAGGTCACCTACAAGATGAAAACATCACGGTTCACGAAAGTTTTGAAAATTATTTAGTACTCTGCTCAGAAATTGCACCGTCCACTATGAAGAATTATAAATGGAGGAATATCCTTCTAAAAATTCAGCTCAACCAGACAAGATTTGACCATCCATCACTCATTTGATGAAAACTGCTCAGAGTTGAAAAACATGCTCCTCTCCTCTTTTATCTCTCTTCAATCCTATAAACCTTCTCTCTCAATTCTCTTACTCTCTCCGCAGAAACAAATTAGAATAATCAAACCATGCAAGTGACTAGCTTAAGAAAAATGGGCTTGGCCTAAAAAAGCAGAGAACCAAACCAACACAGCATTACAAATTAGTGCAGCTGCATTTTACATGTATACACTAGGCTTCGAATCAAGTAAACACAAAGGCGTAGCGAAAAAAAGGAAATGGAACCAAAAAGAACCAAAACTGAAAAGAAAGCTATATATAATTTACCTGGAGCTATATATCCAATGGTTCCAGCAACTATAGTTCGATAGGATGACTCATGTTGGAGGAGTCTGGCTGTGCCAAAGTCAGAAACACGGGGTTGCCACTCTGAATTCAGTAAAACATTGCTGCTACTTATGTCTCTATGTACTATTGGAGGGGAACAATGATGATGAAGATATGAAAGAGCATTTGCAATGCCTTTAACAATGTTAACCCTCTTTCTCCAATCCAATTCCATTGCTTCAACATCATCATACAGCACAGAAAACAAGCTTCCATTCTCCATGTACTCATATATCAAAAACATGATACTTTTGTGCAAGCAGAATCCATAAAGCTTCACAATATGTCGGTGCTTTATTTCTGATAAGATTCTCGCTTCATTTCTGAAACTCTCATCAAAAGCCGGCACCTCTGCTTCAAAACCATGGAGTTTTTTCAAGGCAACAACCTTGCCACTAGGCAATTGTGCCTTGTAAACACTCCCATACCCTCCTGTTCCAATGCAAAATTTCATGTCAAAGTCCTCTGTAGCTCTAATTAAGTCTTCATATGCAATGCTTCCATCATAATTCCATATACAGAAGAAATCCCCGTTCTTAGTTGCTGCTGTGTTTGCATGTTTGTTCTTTGTTGCACCTTTACGCAGTTTCAGATACACAAGCAGTAAGAGGGCGGCGATTAGCAAAATAATGATGGGAATAACTATGACTAGATATTGTTTTACTTTCATGCTTGTTTTGCTGTAAGATGAACAAGGTTGAAATTTGAATGCCCGTTGATAATGCGAATTGTCGCTACATACATCAATGTTGCCTATTAGCGCATAAGGGCTGAAGCCATCTGGAATTGGACCCTTCAAATAATTATAGGACATGTCCACCACGAAATGAACATGAATGAGACTTCGGGGAACCATTCCTGTGAGATTATTGAAACTTAGATCCAAAATGGTTAAGTTTGGAAAATATCCAATCTGTGATGGTATTTCGCCACTAATGTCATTGTAACTGAGGTCAATAGCGGTTAGCATCGCAGGGCTTTCAGCTAACAAGTGTACTATGTTCCCACTGATGGAGTTACGATTTAGCCTCAACTCTTGCAAGTTGGTTAATTGATCTAAATTAGAAAGGATGGAACCTACTAGTAGATTGCTGGAAATATCAAGCTTTTCTAGTCGAGTGAGATTCGTAAGCGAAATAGGCAAGTTCCCACTTATCATGTTATTAGATAGATCAAGTGTAACAAGATTTTTGAGGAACCCCAACTCGTGAGGAATGGAGCCATTAATGTCATTGCGAGCGAGGATTAGGGTATGTAACTGCCTAAGATTTCCTAGTGAAGGTGGTATCTCACCTATTAGTTGATTGTTGGACAAATCGAGATAAGTGAGTTTGCACAGACTACCAATTTCTGGTGGGATAGTCCCTCGTATTCCAATTCCCAAGAGATCAAGCTTTTCTAAATTATGGAAAGCTGAGAGGTTGAGTTTTTCAAATTCAACCACTCTCTTTGATTCCCGGGATTGGATTTTTGTTATGCTTCCAGCGTCGTTGCAAACTATACCATTCCACATACAGCGATTGGAGATATTGTCGTACAATTCCCACCATCCACTATTGAGTATAGCATTTGCTTCCAAGTCAAGCTGGGACGATGCTCCTAACTCCAGTTGATTCCCTATAATCACACCACACATGAGAAGAAAAGAAGACCATAATTCTGGTCCATAAAAATAATTAGAAACAAAAGAGTGCATTGTTTGCAGATGCAAGGGCTTTCAACTTGCTAAGTAATGGTATGTTACACATATACAATTTTGTTACTTAGATGTATCAGAAACGAGGATTTTTACGGTTGTGATTAACAACCATTGACTTAAACAGGTGTAAAAGTGTGAACTGACTTCCCCCACGCATGTCACAACATTGCTTGAGTTGGGTTCAACTTTGAAGGAGGATTGAGTGCGACTGCGACTAATCATTCTTTTTATTCCCATTTTTGAACTTCTTCGTATTATTAATTAATTAGTTTTAAGTTTTAAATTAATCGGATTAATTGTCCATTGTGATCATGTTGAATTCTGCTTATGATATCTACTTGTATCTAGTTTTCATGATGGGTTAACCTAGTGGACACAAACTCAAGGGAGTGAGTAGTGTTAAACTTACTATTAGGCTACTCTTAATTATTGGTCAAAATACACCTTATAATATTTTTATATAATTTAATATAAATTTAATTAAACCAGTTGAATCAATGGCCCACCGGTTGAACCAATAATTCAATGACTCAGTACTTATTGTATGTGAGTATGGAAGGTCATATGCTATGCTATTTTTGGTATATTGATCGTCATATTCCTATGATAAGGTTATGTTAGATTCAATTGTGTTGAGATGCTAGAATTGGAAATGGAATATTGCTTTTCGAAATCGTGGCCGCGAGAGATGACTTTTTAGTTATTAACCCAATAGAGTCATTTTCAAAATGATATAAATTAATTAATATAGCCCAAATAGGAGAATATTGAAAAATTTCCTTTATGTAGGCAATATTAGTTAATTAATTAATTAATTTTGTGTTTTAAATTAATCGGGTTAATAGGTATTCCTATTTCAAGTATTTTGATTAGCCCATTGTGATCATGTTGAGTTAAGCTAATGACTAGAGTGTAAATGGATTGGGCTAGGCTGAGTTTTGTCTTAAATAGGTCAAGTCTGTGTAAAATACTTTAGGCATATCCTGGTCTATTAGCCTTGTGTAAGTCCAAATTATAGGTCTGATCTGGCCTATATTCAAAAAATAAAAGTCTTGCTCTAGGTCTGTTAGCCTATTAGGCATTCAATAATTAAATAATATTACTTTATTATTCAAAATTATTAAAATAATAATTTTATTCTGAATAAATAATATGTTATAAGCCTGTAGGCTTATAGACCCGACATGTAAAAGAAAACCTTTAACCTGTTATCTAAATATTTTTTTAAAAAGCCTAAGCCTATTCTATTTGACTATATATGATAGGCCGAACTAACCTGATATAAGCTAGGTCGTAGGCCCTTGTTAGGCCATCTGTCCCATTTACACCCCTACTTATGACATTTGTTAGTATTGGGCCTAATTGGGCAACAATGAAGGTTTCGTGTGACCCTGATTTTCATAATGGGTGGATCCAGTTGACACAAACTCTTTTTAGGTATCTGGTTAGGTCTCCTCTCTAGCTTATTTATACTGCGATTAAACCCCGTAAGTCATCATGCTTCCATCGTAAGAAGGCTACTATTTTGGAATAAGTCATGGAGAGGAAGATCCTAGCATGTAGTCCTCCCTTTCTTCCGATTTTGTGATGGCCCAACAAAGTATGCACAATCCCGACTTTGATTTCATATTATTTGCGTATTTTATAATTATATGCATGATCCATGAGTTATAAATCTTTCATCTCAAACACCGCTTGACTGCCAAAGGCATATACGTATCATCAGTGACAGAGCCATCAATATATGGAAGGGAACTCATGGGAGTCCATGACTAGCAGAAACCACTACCAATAAGTTAAACAATATCAACCATGCATCCAATACTACGTATCAATCATGAATTCTGAAGTGTTAGTGGATGAGAGAACCGTATATATATCCCACAAGGGGGCATAGTATGTTTATCTAGGGGTACTCTTTATAGCAATAGTATAGACTAAAGCCCTTATAGAGTTCTCCAAGTGTTGTATGACAATGGTGGGGGTGTTTAGTGGCTACCGAGGTTCTCCAAGTTGATAGAGTAACAACTAATAGAAGTAATCAAATAGTGATGATACTTTAGTATGAAGGGGGTATTTATAGGTAGGGTTCGACCCTCTGAGCATGGGAGAGAGAGTGGAGAAGGTGGGGTTGAGCCCTACATTGTAGACTAGCCTTGTTGGAACAAGGCCTACTGCAACCATTGTCAGTGTACAATGGCTGCTTGTGCTTAGGAAAGGAAGAGGGTATCTTGTAAGAGGCTTTGCTTGTCTCTCTGCAAGATATCCTCTATAAGCTTTTAAGTATGGACTTATTATACTAGGCCTAAACCATAAGGCCAACCCAGAATAAAAGCCCCCAGCTTGGTAGCTTGCGGAGTCGGGGTGCTAAGGTTTGTTAGGACTTATATCCAATCGGTCATGTTATTTGGTTCGTGAGGAGATGGTTATGTTGCCTAATTGGTCCTTCTAGCGGTGATGCTGGCTTTATCCGGTCGGCAAAATTATGGTGGTGATTGAAGGTCCTTTCTTGTCCAGCTGAGCAGGATATATTTATGCTATAGGACTCGGAGGTCAATTAACCGATCAATTTAGGCAGAAATGTCCTCTTGTTTTGAGTTGTCTGAAATTTGACCGTTGAGATATTCTGACGTTTTTTCTATTTTGGAAAAGTTATATTGCAGTTGTACCGTAACGATGTATACTTTTGTGGCCAATCATGGCCATGTGTGATTGTTTAAGTGGGGGTAGCTCCTCATTTTTTACGTTTCATCATGACGAAAGCGAGTGGCCTACTCTTTTTTACCAAGTTGTGGAAAAATAGGTATAAACGATTTTTTGGCATGGGGTTGAAAAACATAAAATTTTTTGGCATAAGCCCAAAGAAATACATCGGCCCTTCATTTACCAAAATACTTTTTGGCATGGGGTTGAAAAACAAAAGGTATCAACAAAAAGTCTACCTTAAGCCATAGTTACACAAGGAAGCACCAACACCTTTTTGTGTTGAAAAATGTGTGTCGAACCGTGATACACATTCGGTTATTCTGTACATATTCTTATTTATTCTGTACATGATACACATTTGGTTATCTTGGTATCTTTATTTATCCTGATACACATTCAATTATCCTGGTACATATCCTTATTTATCATAGTACACACTCAGTTCCTCTCAGTGGTGGACGGACATTGGTGACTGTGTCTGCACTCGCAGACACAAAAATTTGAGGATTTTTTTTTTCAATCAAATGGGTGGGTGAAAAAATAAGCACACATCATCGCAATCTCTTCCTTGAACTGCCGTGTGATCCTCACCTCCTTCTATCTATTTTATTGTTTTTTCATCCGTCAGATCGAACAACTTACGAGCTATACGGCGCTGGTAGACTAAAGCTTTTTAGTTTCTGTAACTTCTTTCAATTTTTTTATTTCAGAAGCTCATAGATATTAACTGATTAAATCTCTGTTTTAAAATTTATATTGCATTTTTTATTACGCAAATATTTTTTATATTTTAAAAAAACTAATATATAACGTTCTAGAAATATATGTTAATCTTATTATTATTGAAAAAAAATTCTAATAAAAATATGAAATTTATGGTTTTTCTATTATTATTATTATTATGACAATCAAGTTTTGATAAATATACTATTTGTTGAGAAGAGAAAGGATATTGTTTATCCATTGGTCTATTTGTTGATAAAGTTGGCACTCGTTCTACCGGTAGCAATTGCTAGTGTTAAGCAAATTTTTTCTGCAATGACTTTTGTTAAGGATAAGTTGCACAATCAGATAAGTGATGATTGGTTTAACGCATGTATGCTAACTTATGTTGAACATGATATATTTGATAAGATTGATGATGAAGATATAATGCAATATTTTCAAGGAATGAAGAATCGAAGAATGCTTTTGTGGTCGTTCTATTGTAACAGCTTAGTTGACTCTTGATTATTATTATTTTTATGTTAAGTTAAAGTTTTTCTTTTCTTTTCTTGTTTATATTCTTTTTTAATACATTTAAAATTTTCTTAAAAAAAATCTTCGGGGGCGCTACCCCCGAACCCCCGCCTTAAGTGTGCACCCATAAAAAAAAATTCTTGAGTCTACCACTGGTTCCTCTTATACATGTCATTATTTTTTAAGCCGAACTATGAATCCAACTCAAAAGACAAATAATAAACTGTAAAGTAATAATAGGAACCTGGTAGAACCAAATGACAAAAAACATGTAAAACATATATGAGTATACAATCCAATGATCTTCTCACATAACCAAATTACAAAAAAAGCCATGTTAACCCCATCATTTTGAAAATTTCTAAAATTATATTTTATATTTTAATCAGTTAATATCAAAGCTTTTAATTTTTATAAAAATTTTGTCTTTCTTCACATTAAATTTGAAATATATACATAATTTAACTCTTATTCAAAAAAATTATAGATATGCAATAATGCCTTTATGCCTTATAGACGAGGGACTCAATGTGCATACTTCACTAACACTCGCTCTAGCTAAAAGGGATGATTTCTTGACAAATTTTCTATACAAATTACAAACACATTTAACCACGTTTTCTTCATTGATGGATTTGAGTTGGATTCACTCTTGGGCTTGGAAAATAAGGATATGTATCAGGATAACTGGGTGTGTATCACGGTAAATAAGGATATGTACCAGGATAACCGGGTGTGTACCACGGTAAATAAGAATATATACCAGGGTAACCGGGTTAGTACCCGGGTAAATAATTTTCTACCCAGATAACTGGGTGGTCAACGGTCAAACAGGGGCAGATTGGTATTATGTTTGTAGAGAAGGTTAAATTTTGAAATAGTTTATAAACGAGGGTAAGATGGTAATTTTTTATTAGTTAAAGGCTACAATGGTCAAAAAGCCCGTGTCAGACACCAATATGTTCCGACACGTGGTTAACATTTTTGACACACTGCCAACACTTCGACACGCAGTCAACGTTTTCCAACATGTTTTTTTTTTAAATCCAATT